AATTATTGGAAAATACAGACTACATTGTATTCAATGACAACAGAATGCATAAAAAATTTTAATAGAGAAGTTGACAATAGAAATCAAAAATAGGCGAAGGGTTGAAAAAGAAAACGAAAAAAGCTAAATTATGAATCAGGTGCAGTATGCTATGTTCTCCAGTAATCCTCAAAATATGTGCTATAAATTTTAGGGAAGTAAATATTTGGAAGGGAGTCAGACAAGGATGCACACTGTAACCGCTACTTTTTAATCTATACGTTCAAGACGCGATCAACATCATTAAAGACAGTACAACTGTAGGGATAGATATAGAGGGGCAAAACATTAGTATGCTTAGATTTGTAGATGATATAGCAGTATTAGCATCTCGCAAGGAGGAGTTAGAGATAGCTTTAAAAAAAGGTAGAAGTATTGACAAAACAGTATTGTATGAAAATAAATCAAAGTAAAACAAAAATACTGGTATGCAAGGGAAGAAACAGTTGAGAAAGGGCGAATATAAACATAGAAGACGAACAATTAGAAGAAGTGGTTGATTTTAGGTATCTGGGAAGTCAGATAAGTCAGGGCGGAAGGAGTAGTAGGGATTAAAGCAGAGGATCGCGCAAGGTCGTGTCGCCTTTAATAAAAAGAAGTCACTTCTATGCTCGCGAACGGTTAATTTAGAAATTCGAAAAAGATTGTTAAAGGTGTATGGAGTGCAGCGCTGTACGGGTGCGAAACATAGACAGTGGGCGCGGCGAAAAAGAAAAGGTTAGAAGCGTTCGAAATGTGGTGTTAGAGGCGGATGATGAGGATATCGTGGATAGAGAAGGTTAGAAATGAATAGGTATTAGAAAGAATAGGAGAACAGAGGACTTTATAGAAGTCAATAACAAGTAGACGAGGTAGGTTGGTAGGACACCTTCTCAGGCATGAAGGTCTAGTCAGAGACATATTAGAGGGAGAAAAAGGAGTTAGAAGGAGTAGAGATAGACCTAGATTAGATTACTGTTCCCAAATAGTTAAGGATGTGGAATATTCTAGTTTTGGGGAAATACGAAGATTAGCTCAGGATAGGAAGGAGTGAAGGTGCGTATCCATTCTTAGGACTGCCGACGGATGATGATGGTGATGTGCTTGTTTTCTCTTAAGTAATTAGGTCTAATTAAGCATCTACTCGCCGACGTCGTATAGTACACTAAACGTATAAATAACATGACATGCAGGTACAGTAGACTGGCGAACTCTTCCCAATTCGGTAACAGGTAGGGTTGCTAATTTGTTCTCGACGTCAAATATTTTCCTTTATAGTAAAATATAAAATATTATAACATAAATTACATTTTGACAGGTACGAGAGGTTTCTCACCTACTTCACCTGAATAGCTGCCCTTGATCGATTGGGTGTCTATTGACCAACAACCTTTTCAAATAAATAAAAACGTTTTCATAAATATCAGATGGGACAAACAGGTCATGATCCGGCAAAGAAAGATTTAAAAAAAATGTGGTTGATGTATTGCGCGTGGCGAAGTATTAAAAGAATTATTTTTTTTTAGTTTAGTCAATTATTTATTCTGTTGACAACATTTGTTACTTCTGATGGTAATTCCAGAGAATACCGATTCAATAAATAATAGACAATTAATATATCATCCGTAAATAATTCTTTGTGGGTAATCAATTAATTGTACGAGTGTGACACTGCGGCAGAGTCAATGAATCAGAAAATCCGGGTCGGTGGTGGTGCGAGTTCAACATTAGAAATAGCAAATTCTTAAAAAACCATCAAACCTAGAACATTCCAATGTTCAGGTAAACTTCTAAAAACTCTGACCTTTTCGTAAGTTTAGTTTCAGTGGTTTTGGAAATAAAGGAGCTTGCTTTTGCAAACATTTTATACATAGAATTTGAAACAACGTTAGCAACGTTATGATACGAAATATTTTTCAATAATTTAACATCGCCGTTTTATAAATTCTATAGATACAGTGGAATTAGTTTATTATGACTCCGCCTATATTGACCAACCGCTTAATATGAAGTAATTGCAGTGTTAAGTTTGGTTTTCATATTAAATTCTCTATAGGAAAGTTTGGATATAATGACTCCGTTT